TAACCGTTTCACACCGTTTTACATCGGGTAAAATTAAATGAAAACAACTCTGCCTATACAACTTCACAACAAAATAATAAAACAGTGCGTTTGTGTTACTACTACCATTTTAATATTATTCAAAATCTGTATTAATCACGCAAAAGAATATAATAAAACGTGTAGCGTATATGAATATAGAGTATATAATATTATAATTCGTGTATAATTAACAATAATAGTTATGCAAATAGAAGACAGAAATTACATGCGTGACTCATTTGAGTGTTACATAACATTTAAAACGCGATACGATATCATGACTTGGCTATAAGATCCAACGTTTCGTAAAATGATCCAGTGCTCAGAATAATTAATAAACTTAACCGCGCACACACGTATAAGTACAGATGCGCGTCTTAATTTAACACGAATAAGGTGTGCCGAAACATTTTGTTGAAAATTATCTAAACATATTATATATTATGTTTGCGTCACCATAATAATAATAATAATAATATTAACGTATAGTTTATCGTTTTGCTCATAAAAATTGAAATTTGACAGTTGGAAACTCATTCGGATTAAATAAAACTATAATCTCTGATGTACCACATACGTTGTACTGCACTAATTATAGGTGTAATTTTATTTGACAATTGATACAATATTTTATAGTATTTAAAATTTAAGCTATATGGAAGAGCTAAGAAATATTTAATATATTTAATATTGTACAGAGATTTCTTAAAATTGATGAGGATTCATTTATTTATTTATTTTTTTTGTCAACTTATCTCTATAACTTATCTAACTAACACCGTGGTTCTCATAAACGACACCAAATATTATCGTGGTTATCTGCAATTTTTATATTTTCCATAGTAAAATGAATGTTAATTAGGTATAAGATCAAATACTATATAATAATAACTACTATCTGAACTTGTCGGATGATACATTGTCAATTATTTTATCTTTGGCTAGCACATATACCTTATCGTTTTTTTAATCGGCGTTCTAATTTAATATGTCGTGAATGGCTAGAGTGGGGTGTACTTATATTTACTGTATACTTGAGAGAGGAGAATGTGGTGAGGACCCCTGCACTCCTTCTCCCTGGGTAATAAAGACAGTGTATCAATGTGGTCAAAAAATCATCTTATAAGATGCTCTACAAGTCTGGTAGGCAAGCATTCATTAAGTCCCCGTCTTCTTAATTAAAACAATTTTAATTGCACATTTTGCTGATCTCATGTTATAAAAAAACGGTGACTACTATTATTACCTATATGTACGCAGTAATTCTCATATGAGATTATAATCTGGCAATTTTTGAGCGTGGTATTTACATTTCCAGCAAGAACAACAATAAGTGACGAACTAATAATTAATACTAACCACAACATTGTAAACGCATTTACTGTTCAGGAATGAATTTACAATCACGTATGGATATAATAAGTTAATGGATTGAAAAAAATAAATCGAGTTTTTTCCACGTTATTTTGGCAAACACATTATCTCAGGCAGGTGCCAAATCAGCTTTTGCGGCAAACCGTGCAAAAATTATTCGATGTACCTATTTATAACACTTGTACAATTTATACCCGGTATCTCGATTTCATTGGTACTGACAGTTAATAAATTTTAGCAAATGTACCTATTGGGATTTGGGATTTTTTTTTCTTACCTCCTAAAACCGATTTATGAAGAACGCCGCTGTCAGTTACATTGTCTAGCTGACTATCGATCGCGTACAGTTCTATAAAATCAGATAAGCATTTTGGCACGATCGACTTATATTTAGAAATTTACAACCACGAAAAAAATACCCGAATGCACGGATTTCCAAGGATTTACTTTTAAATCTCAAGAACAAACAAAATTCCCTTCGCCTTAATGGATGCGATTAAGTGGATCCCAAATAGGTTTAAATTAAATTATAATAGTACTTCACATTTAAAAAAAAAAAAAACTGTGAACATATACTCGTATTATTATATTTTATTTTTAATTTAAACAAGTATACTAATAAAATATAAGATTTATTATGTATTCGCAGAGGTACATGGACCCAATTTTATGAAATATTTTTAAGGATATTAATTATTTACCTATAGAAACAGATATAAATATATGTAGGTACAGATATAAATATTGAAAAATAAAACATGAATGACAACTATTTCCATTTTAAATTTAAATGCGTTTACCCATTTGTAAAATCAAAGCGAAACATTTTTGGTAAACTATTTCATATTTCCAAAAACTTGGATTTATGCACATTTTACGTAACGAGGTCAATGATATTTTAAAAAGAATATGTCAAAATATCTTATCGTACTCACAATTGAAGTCATGTTAATAAAAGAGAGTAATATGGTTTCAAATGTTTTAGTTTATCTACAATAAAAAAAAACAGTCACAGATAAGCTGTAGTAGGTCAACTATAATTTTATAGTTTATAAAAAATAAAATAAAATTTATATAACTTTATAATTTTCTACAAATTCTATATCTCAAGAAAATTTTTGAATTAAAAAATGTCTATATCTATTAATTTTGATTTTTTTTCGACAATAATTATACAAATTAATAATACATTACACTTATTTTTGTTATTCTATGATCTAGGAATACAATTTATTAGAATAATTTATTTTAACTATTTTGTTTTTTCAGAGTATAATTAATTTAGTTCTACTTAAATGTATACGTATAAAAACTTATTTAAAATGGAATAAAATATAGTTAGTTCCCAAAAATGTATGATTGCATTCTAAAATTATATTAATTCTTGCAATTTCTGTATCGTGTTATATATATATATATATAGACGTATAACATTTGTAAAATAATTCCACGACGTTGTTTTAACTATAAAAAATGTGAGTTTTAATTAATAAGTACGCGTTTTTGGAAGTTTTTAATTTAGAACTATATCGGTATTTACGATTTTTAGGGTTATTTTAACAAAGGTATATTAATTTTTAGTACACAATTTAAATTTTTTACATAACCAAACAATACATGCTCGTTGTTAAACTAATTAAAATTGTTTGATAGCTAATTTCAAGGTAATATACTAATATACATTTATTGTAAGTTCATAGTAATTTTAGTATAATTAAAATGAGTAAAATTCTTTGGAAATATAAAATCGCTAAATAACATAAGATAGTTTGTAACTTCCAAATACTTAAGACGCGAATATTCAATAAAAATAATGTATCAGGCTCATATACAAAATTGTTTTTATGAACATAATAAAAATGAAATACCATAAAACAAAATAAATGTAAGCTAAAATCTATAGAAAAAAAATTGAATTGCCATTTCATGTTTATACATACACATTTGTCATTGTACAAAACAGCGAACTTCATCCTATGATAGTATCTAAATACTAAATGAATGCAATCACGTTATTATACTCGTACGACTTGATTAACAATAATTGATGGAATGCTTAAAGCAACATAAATTAATAACTATTTTCTTATAATATTACACTTTAGTTCTCCAATATTGTTGAGTTCAAAACTTAAGACACATAATATAACATAACAGTTTAGATGAAACTTTGATTTCAAACTTTAAGAAGAATATGATAATCTGCCAGAAGCAGCATAAATATTATAAGTATTTGAATTTATTAAAATAAAATAAGTCATCGTATTGATAGATTGTATTGAAGCGAAAAATTTTTGCGCGGTGCTTAAGTTGATAATTTGCATTAACTATATTTTTTTTATTCTCCATTATATAATGGAAATTACTTTTTTTCGAAATTATTCTATTATGTACCACGTACAAAAAGATAAATTAATTTATGACACTCGTAATCTTTATATTAAATAATTGAGTAACTTAAATGTTTTTAAATTTGTGTATATTATTTAAGTATTTTTAAACTCACAACAACAATACAATACTGATTCAATCTATGACAATTTTAAAATACTTATTTAATTATTATAAGCAAAATTATATTGTATGTCATATGTGTATTAGTTCATACTTGAAAAATAAGCTTTTCTGTTATTTAAATATTATTAATTTGTAAATTGCATTAGTTTTAAATAAACTAATTATATTATTTATTCAAACAAAAAATGTTTAATTATTAAATATAAATTAAATAAATCAATGAATAAAATGTTCAAATATCTTATGCTTTTAATCGTTTAACTTACCCATATATGTGAAAATTAAATTTATATATTAATTAATAATACAACTAATTGCGCGTTTTAAATCAAAGTTGCATAACATGAGCTAATGTTAAATTGTACTTATTAAACATTAAATTATCTTTTGAAATATGGAAATAATATAATAATTATTTTTAATAAGCCATAATTATAATATGTTAATATTTCAGTGTTTGTAAAATATTGTGAAATTTTTCGTAAATAATAATCAATTATTTATTAAAATAATTTTTTTTGATTGAAGTACTTAAATAGTTTATTGGCAATGGAAAAAAAAATAAAAATCTATACTTACTTCAAAAAGTTGACAGATTTTATTGTAAGTGAAATTTTATTTTTTAAATATACAATTATTAAATTTTTTTGAAAGTCAAATTAATCTTCTAAACCAATATGGAGTCAAAGTTATCATTTTATTATATTTATTATTTTACTTTTTTTTTTTTTATAATAAAATATAGAATTTTATATATTTTATTTTTATTAAGTTTAAATAAAGATATAATAATATAAAATATGTAACTATTTTTAGACTTAACGGAGAAAATTATGTTCTTAGTTAACGAGCAGATTGTAAATACATTTTATATATCAGCAAAAAGTATATTATACAAGTCTAAGCAAGTGTATATTATGTATAAATATTAAAAAATAATAATAATAATAATAACAAATAAATAAATACTATTTTCTATTATTTATTATTTTTTTAACCATATCAAAAAAGAATATTGTGTAAAATTTCTACATCATAGTTTACTTTTTAATAATTATTTTTTTTAGAAATGTTTGAACGTTACTGACCGTATTTTCTTTTCAATCGCTAAACAATAGCATATTCCGTCCAAAAAAAAAATGTCTCACATGTCACGCGAAATACAGTAACGAACGAAAAAATCGAATCGATAAACCATCTATAAATAAGTCGTGTTCGTAAAACAAATATCAAAGAAATTACACAGTGGCATATTGGCACGGAGAGGACACGCGGACGATCGGTAGACGAGTTTACGGGAGTAATCGCGGCACAGACTAAACGCGTGCTGCCGGCGAAAAAACGAATCCGTCGACAGTCGGGCGCCAAAAAAGTTACAGCTCTCCTCCAAATAGCTCTTCCCGCGGAGCACATGCGCGCGTGTCCATGTCGTATTATTATTATATATTATACGCTTCCAAAGTCTAATTATCAATTTGCACGCTGTATAACGACGAATGTGAACAGCTCTTATTATTAGTGGAATGCCGAGTGCTCGTGTACAATACGTACTCGCAACGATATATTATTATCGTGTGATGTCTTCGATAGTGTGTGACGATTTTCGTATATTATCACTGCGAGCAGGATGGAAGGGGACTGTTCTAGGTCGGGTGAACGGAAACACTATTGATATTTTTCCACGTACACTTTACGCTCAAGTTCTAAATCGTAATTATTTCATTTTGATACGGCGCACAAAAACGAGTCACGACCACGACGATACGACCACCGCCGTTTCGTGTCAACGAGATATCGAGTTTGAGTTACCGCCAAGTTCATTAATATCGTCTTAAACTTGATAAAAAAAAAAAAAATGTCCGAAAAATGCAGTAATAATGGTCTGGAAACGCTGTCACGAATTCGGTGGCGCACATGCCGCCGTCAAATTTGGTAGCTGGGTCAGATTATAACATTCGACGAACAAATAATAAAACGTTGGATTTGATTTTTTTGTCATTACTCGCGTAATTCGTATACAACAGTTATAAGCACGAGATGCGAACGGATTTCAATACGCTTTCGTTATTTTTTATTCGTGTTCATCTAAACCTACTCATACCTATATTATTATTATTACAATATTATATTAACGCTATAATTACTGAAACAATTGATTTCCTAATAATTTCGCAAATAAATATATTTTAAAAATATGTTGCCAATTAACAGTTAATAATATTTCAATGATTTTTATTAATAATTGAATGTATAAATCTGATCACTCAAAGTTAGTTGAAGTTTATTCGACTATTCAACCATTTATAAGAAAATATTGTTCGTTCACTGTTATAAAATATATTAAAAATCACCATTTCACCAAATGGACGCACTTGGACTGATTTTTTTTGGCTCGAGGACAATAAATTTATTTTCTTAACTATTATTTTTGATGGTGAATTAAATAAATATTTTTAAATTTTACCTTTACTTTTTTATAAATAAATATTTATTCATATACGCACATTTAATTTATATGTTTCCATCTCCAAACTTCACGAATTCCCAAAATGGCTTTAAAAAAAAAAATACTAATTTGTAATCACTTTATTATAATATAAGTATCTCCTATATATCTCATAACTAGGTATATTATATTTATTTAATAGGTCGCTATTGGACCATAATATATTCATTTTTTTGACTTTAATTAGCTATAAATCTTTTAACAGGAGAGAATGCAAGATAAATAATAAATATACATCATATTTGAGGGTATCAATACTTAAGTTAAGAAAATGATGTTATCATGTATAAAATATGACAACCTTTGATTTTTTTTCGCTAAAAAAAAGTGTTATAATTTCTTATTTCATTATTCTGAAGTAATGATTTTTATGAGATATTTTTACTTGTTTACGTAGTAATAAATTATCATACGAAATATCGTTTTTTGTGCTTCAACTAGTTTTATATATTGTGCTATAATGTTTAAAAATTTTCAAAATCATGGAGTAGTAGCAGTTATTTTTTATTAAAAATTAATATGTTTTAATTCCTACGACTTGAAACTTAATTATACTATAGCTAATATGTTGATACTTCAATTTTTAATTGAAAAATAATATTCTCTTCCTTTGTTATTAACAACAACTATTAATGTTTTCAGACATGGTTGATTTCTCTATAAGGTGACCGGTTTTCAAGGAGTGACCTCCCCACCGGTTTGTATTGAACAATTATAATTGTTTATAGACAAGTTTAATTTTTAAAGTAATAATTATATTAAGTATACATATCGTATATATTATGCAGGCTGAGCTATTGTGTAACTCATCTTGCAAATAGATGAAATAGTCGAAAGAATGCATTTAACGTTTTGAGTAACACGCAGAAAACCAAATGAATGTATATTTTATGAGGTTAAAACTCAGACATATTGGCCAATGGTCAAACGGAAAGCTTTTTATCTTTATTATTAATATAAATTGGTTACTTTACATTATACATATAATAAGTATATAGATATTTGCAAATATTAAAAACTTTATATACTACGTATACATGTAGACATGAATATACATATATTATAACCTACTATTATATGGTTGTCTCTTGATCAATTGTGCAGCATAAGATCAGCCCACGAAACGTAACCACGGGTGTGCGTTATTTTTAAGCCATCGGTAGCACATAACTCACAAACGATAATATTATATTCTATGGTGTGATACGGACAGCGTATAATAACTTATGGTTGTATATTTGTATATATTATATTTATATATCGTACTCGAAAACCTATATTTTATTTTGAGTCATTCGCAAACATTTTATTAGTGTAATCATTATTTTCGAGTTCCAAATGCTTTTTATAATTATTTTTATTTTATTTATAGGTATTTGTACATCGTAGTGTTGTTTTAAACGTATTCGGCAGTTTGGTAGTTTATTTATTTTTTATTATTGTTATTATTTTTTGATAACTACTAAGTATAAATCAACTATTTTACGTTCGACACATTTTTTCGATCGAAGCGATGAATAGATTATTTTTCTCCGTATAATAGATACACGCGAAGGTTTTTGAGAGAACAAGGTACAAAAAACGTTTATACTTTATACCACTATATCATATTATAAAATGGGAACTGGATGGTAATTCATGTTTATTATTTCCTTCGATTATGTTCTAATTTAAAAATAAGGTAATTACCGTAAAAATTACAAAAACTTTTACATTCAATGAGCATAAAATTACTTTTAAAATTAAATGTAAAAAAATATATTAATCAATTCAAATTTTATTGTTAATACTTGCAATGAACATAAGTATTAATAATGAATATAATTAATGTAAAACAATAATTTTATTCACATATTCAATATATAATTTAATATAAGTATGACTTTTCATTATTAACACGTATTAGAAACTTTAGTATATTCGTGAAAATACCAAGAGAAGTTACTGATTTATGTTTTTAATTAGCTCAGATAATAAATTGATTTTAAGTGCTTATTGTAAAGTTATTATTTTTTTTATTTTTTTTTTTATTTTTAAATTTAATTTTAAAAGAAATTCAAATCATATCTAAAAAACATATAAATTGATTATTTCGATTTTAAAATAAACGCTAGTTTTGTTTTTATTTAATTTATTTTTTTACATGTTCATTTTTTTCAGTTATAACTGGAAAAAAACTGAAAATAATGTAACTTATAGTGATGAAAAATAGTAAAATAAAAATAAAATTTACGGTACATCTATTATTGACAAAATTATTTCTATGTAAGCCAATTTTCACTAGTAAATGTTTTTCAAACTGATGATTTATCGTTGTTTCCAAGTTATAATATAGATATTATACTGTAGCTGTCTTCTACACTATGATTAACTTACTAAAATAACTTAGATAATAATATCTACTATTTACTATCATTTGCAATAATAGTTTAAAATAATTTGCTTCAAATTACATTATTAAAATTATGTATCTCGTTGAAAAATTGTATTCCATTCTTTAAAAAAAAAATGCGAAATTTAAATTCAACATTCTTTTCAAAAAAGAAGTTGAAGTCACACCCCTTGTTGAAATTTAGATACATGCAAGTTTTTTTTAAATATATTTTTGTTAATAATATCATTAAATATATTTCTAGATATTGGCTACATAAATACGTGGAAATAATATATACGTATATATTATTGTTTTTTTAAAATTAAAAAACTCGTAATTTATACTCAATGTTGGCTCTTATCCTAATATTGTTATTTCTATAAAAACATATTATTTATGAACTAGAATGAAAATGAATTCACAATTGAAAACTCTAAGCAATTTAACTTAAGACATAAACATAAAATAATACATTACGTATATAAACTTTTATTTTCAACTCTAATGACTTAATATATACTTATTACCTACGTAACACGCAATTAACTTTACCATTACAGAAATTATTTAATAAACTATAAACACAGTACACCTATATAATATGCGAATCTTGAAAATGCTGTTGACTATTAAAAACAATAAGAATTTTTTTATGTAATATCAATTATACTATATATATAATATATATATATATGGTTTAACAAAAATAAATGACAAGTATAATTAATTAACTAAAGATATGTTATAATTTATATCCAAATGAATATATTTAATTTTTTTTTAATGTACAAGAATACTTATAAAAATAAAACATTTAAAACACAAAATATCGTATATAATAAATTCAATTCTTCAATTCTTTATAGTGCAATCTGCATGCATACGTATGTTAAAAGCACCTATGTACTTTTTGAACTTTTCACATCAATACTATTTTAAATATTTAATAATTATATTTATTATTTTTTTATTTTTTATTTTTATTTTTTTTCGTATCACATAAATAATATTATATTACATTATAACATAAGAATAGATTTTGTTTTATTATTTATTTTGCATTCAAACTATTTAACTATTTAGTATATCAGTAACTTTCAAGTTTAAATAATAATAATAAATATTATTTTTATTATTAATAAAATATTAATTTGTTCTTATGGGTTAAAACTTAAAAATATTGTAATTTTCTTAAGACAGCCATAATACTGTGACAAAATGAATATCTAATTGTGTATGTATTTTTTTTTTTTTAAATTTATTCACTTTATTACACATATTATATTGTATATGTTTGTTTAGGTAAAAATGTTTACTTACTTGTTTTTATCTTTTGGTAATTGTACTTTGTAGGTATTAAAAGTAAATCCTGTATTTTAGTTTATAATATTATAATATGATATAACATGAAGCACGGTTGT